CATCTTTACTTAGCGCACCCGCAGCACGGGCCATTCCACCAACAGACCGGCATAAGGGACTCGGACAATATTGTGATAGCTGGCCCAACAGTTCGTGCTTTTCTTTTCTTTTTCCTCGTCCCCGCTAGGGTTCCAGACTAGAGGCGCGCCCTGAATCACCAAAGTCCCGTCTCTGACCTGCGCTGCCGCTAACCAAGGAAGCAGAGACTAACTCAGCATCAGCCCATCGATGCTGGATCAGCAATGCAAAGATATCCCATCCCAATCGTTCATCCACCCATCCATCCATCATGGGCATCTCTGTGGGTACTGTGTACACAGCTGCTGAGTACTGTCACAGTGCACATCGCCGTCTATTGGCCCGCAATTCACTAGGTGTCCTCTTGCCAGCCAGATCCCACGTTCAGACCGGGGGGATTGGTCCAGGGCTATGACATACATCTTCAACGGTGTATCCGGGTGCACAGACGACATCAAGCTGCAGCACTTCCACGGACCTCCTGGTGGCCCAGGCTGACATTCTGAGGGGACACTCGCATCCATGCTCCCGCATGCCCCCGCATTGCCCTGAGAGGCTAATAGGCGTCGTCTCTGTTAGCGGCCCTTAGCAGTCAGGTTTGGTCTCAGGTCTGGTATGGATGTCCCTAGCTGATGTGGCTGGCAAACCATTGACCTGAGCTGCGATAGCATCCTATCCGTATTGGCGGAACTGACACGACGATGCACCATGTGATGGACCTCTCTCGCATCCCCGGCATTGGTGTCGTCAACTTGCCAATTTGGATTTCTTGTACATATTATTACAGCACGGATACAGGCCTATCGTTCTCCGAAGAGCATGCCCCCACGTCAGGGCTGGGTGTTTCGGGTAACGATGCAACTCTGGAGGGTTGAGCTAATTAATTGCCACACCATGGGCCAATCACCATACCTATCGCTTGGGGAGCGAGCGGATTAGGGCCGATGGAAGAAAGCTATGCTACGTCTCTACCCTGGCACCACGGCGGGCACTCAAGGAAACGTGGTTGAGACGTCCACTATGTAGCCAACCAACCTACCATCCGGCTCAAGTGTCGTCGGCTCCGGTGCTGTTACGGGGCCCTTCGCTGCTACGTCCTTGCATTGCATTGCCTGGTGGGAAGACACCCAGGACCGGGACAGGGAATGACCTCCCTTCGCGTCCATCACCCAAAACAGTTCCGCGTAGCCTTCCCCAGGGGATGCGCTTGTAACTGCCGACAAAGGGGCGGTAAATTTGCCGGTTGAGGGTTCTCGGGCGTTTCGATATGGGCCCCGTGCTTTCTATGGCAGCCATACCCGTCGCTGCATCGTCCCTATTACATGGAGGGAAACTTTCGTTCGAAACGCGTCGTGCCCTGTCAGGGACGATTATGGACAGAGGTCCGCGCCAGCAAGTGGGAGATGATGCTCGTCTGTGCGATGGTGCGAGCAGACTTGATGATTACACCAGACTGGGACGCGTCTGGCCATGGTGGGTATATCGTGTGGTATTATGCGTTCACACCAGGACAGGTGATCGGAGCCTTGGAGTGGTCTGAGGAAGTCCAAAATAACGACAAACCTTCGCGATGTACTTTTGAGTTTCGGGAAGGCTTGGTGCGGACCGCAATTTGGTATGCCGTAGCATCTTTCCGCACCCGGAGCCGATTATAGTGATCCTTGTATCTCGGCCGAGAGCCAGATACTGGTGGGGCTGTGGGAGAGCCGTGAATCTCCGTGGCTGGTTGGAACTTGTGATCCCTTCAATGCACGGTCCACACTTGGACTCCTCAACCCTCTAACGTCTAGTGCAGCCTAGCGTATCGGCCAGGTCATGGACCAGACAAACGAGAGGGGGTAAAGAACAGATGCTGACCAACAGGGTTCATCGAAGCCCATCGGAGGCGTGTGCTTCGTATTTCGAGCGACTGCTAGTGAATGAGTCGTATGATGGTGATCGATGCCACCTGCAATATTCATTAATCATGGCAATGGTGTTGGGCAACACATGAAAAGGCTAATGCAAACTACTCCGTACTAGCAGCTTAGGGGCGCTAGAGAACCAACACTCGCTTATGCCCATCCACGGTCGACCTAATTAGAAGCTGAGCTGACGCTACGTTGGCGTGCAGATGGCGCAGATGGCGAAGGGTCGGTACATGCGAAGGAGAGATCGGGTCGGGCTGGGATGATAACTGCAGGCACTGATGACACGCATCTCCTCACCCTCCAAAAGCCCTCCTTCGAGGCTTCTGATCCTGTTGTTCTCCAAGCTAAGCTAGACATTCCAACACCCCCTGTCAGCATACCCTTGGACGCCATGTAGAATTGGGATACATGCTGGTTACCATTCATCTGGAAACCTGCTCGCTTGCTTCTTCCCCTACCAGGACCTGCATATCATAACACCATCCAGCACACAGAGTGCACATGGTTGGAACGAACCCTACTCAATTTCATGTGCATATACCTCCGCACTTTGTTGTGCAAGCAACCAAGAGAAAAAGAAAGTCACTGCAGACCTCGCTTCGGTTTTCCTCGGCCACACCTTGGTCACGTCTAGGCCTCGATTTCACGATGTGACTGGCCAGGGCATGTCTGGTCATTACCTGATCTCCAGCTAGTGCGATGCGCCAACGATAGCAGCAAAGATACGTGTAAAAAGCATTGCACGTGCCATGTCACAGGGTTATAGCGTTCTTACCATCACAGATGACAGTGATGATTTTGCATCAGAGCCGCACGTCTCGAACGTCGTGGATTATCCCATCCGTTACGCATGACGAATATGCGGTGAAGAAAATAGAAGAGGTGAAGAGAAAACGACGGCGATGAAGTTAGTGCCAAGCGGCATCTAACTAGAGAGAGAAAATCGATCACAAGCAAGGTTGGAGGATGCAAAAACCGGCGACGGTAGGCCAAGGAGACGGGTCTCACCGAAGCCGGTTTGTCCAAGCTGACCGGACCGGACCAATATGGAAAGGGTGTCATTCATGGCACAAGGCACCGCCGGCGGCCAATGGTAAGCGCCCACAGGACTACGGAGGCTTTTGGGCGGATGTTAGTCTTGAACTGAGGAGTCTAAGCCACGTATCTAACCGCCTCTGAAGGGTTCTGAAGGGAAGAGAAAATAGAGTGAGTGGAGGAGTCGCGCTTTGGCTAGCGGCATAGCGGTGTCTAGAAGCGATAGAGGAGCTAAGAGGTCCCTTCATCCATACAGATACATGGATGGCAAAGGCACACACATACATGCTTGGGTCTACCTATCCAAATGTGTATAGCTGCACATATCGATGCGCGGGTTTTCATGCGCGGCGAAAACATCTCAATGCTTCGGCCGTATCGAAGGTTTGCGGCGGCATGTACAGCGGCCATCCCGGCCTCGAGCGGCCACCGTTGTCCTGCGCCGTCGCCACTGGCTTTCGGGTCGCAGGAGACTTGGAGCGGGAGACATGAGCTTGGGGTTGCGATCGCGTCAGATCTATGGTGGAGCGACACTACCGGTAGCCGCTCCATCGACTGGACGGCCGAAGGGCTGCGTGATGGAAACCAGCATGAAATTAAGGCCAGCAACATGTACCCTCGAAGCAACATTGATGCTACCTGGTGGCCCTCTACACTACTGGCTACCTCCATACGGAGCACAGCTGGGTGCACCTCCATGCAGCTGGACGTACATATGTATACATATGTGCTGTGCATGCGGATGGGTGGGTGAACTAGATCGGATCTTCGGGCTCTAGAGGGAAAAGCAAGGCCCATGACCCAGCCTCTCAAGCCACTTGGACCGCCAGGCCGCGAGGGATCCATGATTGGAGCCTGGGGGGAGGGGGCACTGGCCACTGGTCCATCGATAGCCCTGTGAGAACCACTCACACTCGCACACCCACAGCCCAACTTGGACGTGCCTAACCATCATCAATACAACCTCAGCAACCACCATCGCTGCGTCCGGCCACCATCAGGAGCTATCTCTCATGCGCGTCTTTATTGCATGGGGGTGACTGGTGGAGCAAGGGTGAAATTACCTACCAACAGACACACCTGGACGTGCTCCACCAAAGTCTGGATCACCACTGGCAGCGCTCGAGGTGAGGGGGAGGAGGGTCCTGAGTGGGGGTAAATGGTGGTTAGGTGATCGCCACTTGCAGCATCTGACCCTTGTCCCTGTCATGATAGCATCTGCCACACTTCCCGACACCCAGAGTTGAGATGGAGGAGGAAAAATGACAGCCCAAGGCCGGGCTCCCATGGCCAGAATCGGTTCTTCCACCTGGGGGAACACCAGCGAGCACGTTGAGGCTGGGACCGATTTCCTCACGGGACCGCGATCCCATCGTTCTCTAGCCCGTCGGGCAGCCATTGTCAGTGCCGTGCTTTAGCCGTGGCCGGTGTGAGGGCGGTATGTTCACCGCTCTCTCTCGTGTGACGCCATAGGGATCTCCTTGGCCCCCATGGACCTTATGGAGACGCCCATCGTCGTTCTGTTGGCGCTGAGGATCAGCCTTGGGAGACTCCACTGAGGGAAATGGGGATCCGGCGAATTGTTCCATTCTGGAAGCTCATTCCTTGGCTCGCCGTTGAGACAACAAGAGGATGCCCTTAGTTGGTAGCTTCCAACGCTATTGAGATACTTGATTTCACACGGGACAGGTATGTACGATTAGATATGTAGATAATTACACAAGGGTTGAAAAGCATTTATATGACGGGAATTTCTGACTATACATGGGATTTGTAAATCCACAACCATCGAATTCTCTGAATAGGCTCGTGCTACCCCCGCACCATCCCTAACTTCATAAACGTGGTTGAGCCGGACTCGCTCGGCATTTTACTGGCTTGTTGGTGATCACCATGGTTAATGTGGAATTTTCCCCATGAAGGCTACTTGGCCTTTTCTCGTTGAGTCCCGCAAACTCCCGGGTGGAGGTCGTAGTTTCCCCCCTCGTTGTTGATACCCTCACCATGTCACCTTGGGACTGCAGATCATGAGACGACTACGACGAGACCGAAGGGGATGACACTGATGATGTCAAAGCCATGAGTGAGGTTCTGTTCTGGGGGTTGGGTGTAGGGCTCCTCTGGGCCTCCTGCTCCGCTTGCTCTCTGAAGTATTCTGCTCGCTTCTCCCGCTCTGTCTCGTCTTCGGGCTTACCGAGGATCCAGGGGGAGCTGCATGGGATATCTGATGACCTATCTGGCTCGTCAAAGGGGCTCCAGTTCTTCGTGGGCGGGCTGGGAGGTTTGGTAGTGACGGTGTTAAGATGCCTCCTGAAGCGCTTTCTGAAGGTCGAGGAGGGGGTATCACTTGTTGTCTGTCTGTCAGGGGTTGGAGATTTTGGACTTTCAACCGAAGTGCCTTGGTATTGGAAGGTTGAAGACACGTTAGAAATAGTGATTGGGGTATGCTTTGATCTATGTATTGACGGTGGTTCTGACCTCTGAGCCTTCGAGGGCACGAGCTGCTCTGAGAAAGCCCGAGTGTCAGAGTTTCCTGCCTGAGCAAGGACTGTAGACGACTTTTGGCTCTTGGTTCTTTCTAAAGAGAAGGTACTTTTGATTTTATCCTGGCTCTTCTTCCTAACAATGCTCAGACTTCGAAGAGGAGGAAACTGGCGCCCTTTGCCTGTGTCGGAAGAAAAGCTTCCAGCTTTTGATTCAGAGTTTGGACTTGAGCCAGGGACTTGTGGTTGTTCGAGTAAAGTAATATGTTTGTTAGTCCGAGAGAACTGGTTGACGGGAGACCTTGGAGTAGAGCGGCTCGAAATATCTAGCTTGTTGTTTGCTGCTCTGGTGAGCGTTCGTTGGCTATTTTGCAAATTACAGATAGCGCCATGTGACTCCTTTCCTTTGATAGGCGCATCTTTCTCATTTTGAACTCTTCCAATAAAAACATCGTCGGTACTCTTCGCACGAAGCGAAGCATCAGTTCTCATGTGGTGAAGTGCTGTAATACTGGGACTGGGGGTTTCCGGATGATCGTGTTCAAAGGTGTCGATTTCTGCCTCCAGCTCTTCTGCTAAGCTATTCTATAGATTAGGACATCTTCCAGCATCACTCTCTTTTCTGTGAGTTGTATTACGGCGAATTTTCAAAGGAGCTGGTTGAAGATCCTCGAGAATTGACCTAACCGAGCTTGATTCCGATAGATTGCGAGAAAGATCACATGAGGCTTCCTCACCCCTGTATTGTACTTCGGGTTCTATCAAGACAACAGCGGGATCTTTGGCTTCTTCTTCCATGTTGTTATTACCCGCTTCGGTTATGGGTTTCGTGTAGTGGTTTTTATCCAAGATACTTTTAGCCTGAAGGCTTGGAGGCGTAAGACCGTCTTGTGAACAAGTCGAAGAAACCCCTCGGAGAACTCCACCTGGAATTATTCTTGGTTCATCTACCGATGAGATATGACAAGAAGGCTTGGTTGGTACAAAATTGCCCACTGAAAGCGATCTTTGCAATTGTGTTTGCTCCTCGTTTTGGGTGGAAGTGAGGATTGGTTCACCTTTACTTGGCGCTTGGTGAGATTGAACCAAATCCTGAATCCCTGTACCGCCCCAAGAGCGACTTCTCTCGACGGCAAAGGAATTAGATTCACCAATGACAGTAGATGCTGTCTCGGACATTTGATCTGGAAACTTCCCTACGGACTTTAAATCCAGCAAGGAGGGAAAGAAAGAGGTTATTGCCCCCAGATTTAATGATATCCGAGGGCAATTCGAATTTGGAGTTATATGGCAACTGGACGATTTGTCTACCCCGGAAAACGGGCGGTTAGAGGACTGAGATTCATATAAACCATCCCCAACACGTCTTTTTATATTCGGTGGCAATTGAGGAATGATCAAAAACTCATCATAGTTCGGAGTCCATAGTTGTAGTTTGAAGGGCTCAGGAAGCAAACACTTCCGTTTTTCCCTTGAAGAAAGAGATTTTTCGATGAAATACATGCGAGTATATTCCATTGGCGAGAGACGTGGCTCGGCAAGTTCATAGTTGAACGTCTTCAAACTTTCGACGTCTGGAACTGAATGAGGACGATGCAAGAAAGATGATTGACGTGTAACTGAGTGACAAACGGATCCAGGTCTTTTCGGGAGCCCTCTCAGACTATTCCATTGCTTTTTCACGGGCTCAGGATCCGATATCCGCAGTTTTGAGACTGATGGCCGTTTGGACGAAGATGTACCTTTTTGGTGAATCTTTGAAAGCGTCGACTCAGACATTGCCTCATGCATTGCCGATCGGGACCTCATCCTTCGAGCAATCTTGTTAAAAACCTTTGGTAAAACTTCTGGTATGGCGGGTAAAGTGGTCATTGTCTGGGGTTGAACCTTCCTTCCCGGTTCCCTTGCAGGGTTGCCTGTCGAGTTGGCTTTGGCCGCTACGCCTTCTTCATCCTCGGTGTCGAATTCATACTAAAATGTTCGAGTTTCGAGTCGCTTAGGGAGTAGTAGCCCCAGATTGGACATTTCAGAGACCTTGATATTAAGATCTCTGGTAATGGGATGTTGGTCAAACTCTTCTGTGGACAGCGGTTCCAGTATTTCCGATGGCGCGCCCTCCCAATCTTCGTTGACAAAGGCGGCGAGATCTGTTTGAGATGGCAAAATTTCTCGTCCAGATCTGCTTTCTAGAAGATATTTGGAGACTGATGTTGTAGAAGCTATCGTAATGGGAGATCCACAAGGGCGAGATGGTCCATCTCGGCAATCGACATTAGCTGTTGTCGTCGGGGTGATCGGGCTATCTGCCATCTCTGTTATGGATCGTTCGGAAATGGTCAAGGAAGAAATGGAAGAATCTGGCGACTGAATCACGTATATAGGCTTCGGCTGTCTTTCGGCCGCATCGAGAATACCGAGGCAGACTTCTTCGCGTTTCTTGGATTCTTCAATGTATCGTGTCAACGCTTCATGAGACTGGGCATAGGATGGGATATCGCACCAGCCAAGGAGTCTGGTCTCGAGCGCTTTCATTTCAGGTATAGAGAATGGATTTTCTCCCATAAGGTGCTCATAAATGCTGAATCGTATGCTATCGCGTAGTCCGGGTGTACATGGTGAGGGATCAGAATCATCGCTATCTTCGAGAAACACCATCGCAGGAAACAGAGAATTCAACAGCGCCATGATCTGAACAGGCCTCGATACACCTGAATTATACGTTTCTAGTTCGTTCAAGAGTATCTACCGAAGAAAGTCAGCTCAAATTCTCAATGAAATCCAGTTGTGGTGACCACTTACGCGAGCTCGAAATCCCATGTGGAATTGACCATAGCGCTTGCTTGCCGCTTGATGAAGCTCCTCGGCTAGCTCAAGGAGGCCCGACTCACAAGTTCCAGATTCAACTGAAAGCTTCGCCGCCGTGAAAAGAGCCCGGCCATGGATTTCCATTGCATCAAGATAGCCTAAGCCTTCGAGAGCATGTTCTTGCACCAGCCCCCCATCGTCCGGGCGGCGAAACACATAATGGGCCGCCTCCTTGAGTTTCTTGCGTCGATTGGAATCGTAGCGGATTCGTAGGGATTTTCGAATGTCTAATATCGCGCCCTGAAGCTGCTCGTGAATATTTTGATCGTTGTCGAAACCCCGAAGTCTGCGTTGTACCGTTTGGGCGAATCCAACATCTCGTTGCTTGCAATTCAAATGATCGATTTCGAACAGCTTCGTTAGAAAATCGTACCCGGAGCTCATCCACCACTTTTGGAGCTCGATGGGGTAGGGCGGCATCCTTGATCATATCCGGCAGTTTCGCGAAGAGCGGGTAGCGAGGTCTAGACAAAAGGGTTGATGAAGGGAGAAATGCTTCGGTCGGGTGGAGGCCTGAAATCTGGCGAGAGAGGTTGAGAATGCAGTGATGCAAATTTAAGCGATTTTGAGACGAGCTTCATCCACGGCTCAGATTTACCTGAGAAGTTGCGCCGGACGAGGCAGGCGCCAGAACCAAGCTTCGCTGTTCATAGATGAGCTCCCTGAACTGGAACGGAAGCATAGAATCAAGTCATGATGAGAGGATATCTTGATGGATTGTTTTAAGCATTTATTTGGCATCTAAAGAGAGGTTTACAGAACAGCGGATGTGTACCTACACTGCCCTTCGATGACATTGAATGGTGTCACGTGGCAGCCGCTGCCTACCTCCTACAGTAGGCAAGTCACTCAGAGCAAAGCAGACCCTTCCTTCTCTCTCAAGCGCAGCGAGTCGAGGTAGGTCTTAACCTCCTACAGAGGTACCTTAACTTAGCACTTTTTTCGCCTAAAGTATCCTAATTCTTCTGGACCAGCCATGGATCGTCGATCGTGTACATGTGCGAACTCCCATGCTTCAAGATCTTTTGGTCTGTCACACTATTGATCAGTCAACCTCAACCATGTGAAGACCCGACCAATCACTGGACCATGTTTCAACATCTATGTTTTCCAGCACCATCAGCGCAATTTGATATCTTTGATCCCGGACGGGCGTATAGTTACCGATCTAACGGCACGGCACCCCATATTCCGATTGGCTGATCCGTCCTCCCGCAAGTTACCCCGGATCTTCATCCTCAATTCTAGTATAATTAAGCTCTTCTGCGCGTAGTTATCATAATGTACCATAGCAATCTACTGTATTTCTGATCCAACATCAGATCTGTAACCATGGCTAAATGCGAAGTTGAAAATATTGAGTATGGGGCAAGTCTTCCCCCATCACAAGAACATACAAGTCGTAGCTAACCTGTCCAGGGAGTGACTACGGCTGATGGCCTATCTCCTGATCATCGCCGGTACCTTATTGAACGTCACGGAACGGTCGACCTGAACCCGCTTCCTGAGATGGGCGATGCCAACCCCCTGAATTGGCACCAGTCAAAAGTAGGCTTCCTTTGCTTGATCCGCCTCCTTATTTCTCTTGAATGAAAACTAAATGCGACTCCTATAGAAAATATTGAACCTCCTTCTGGTTGCATTTCATGCTTTTATGGCCACATTCACTGCTGCATCCATACAATGCGCGTTTGTTGACATCGCTCTAGATCTACACACTACTGTACACCAAGCTACCTACTTAACATCCCTTGTCATCGCCATCCTTGGAGGAGCACCGCTCTTATGGAGGCCTCTATCACAGGTCTACGGGAGGCGGCCCATCTTCCTCCTATCCCTTCTCTTTAGCCTTGTGGGAAATGTTGGCTGCGCAGTTAGCCACTCATACGGTACCATGGCTCTTTGTCGAGCTATCACGGGATTCTTCATCAGTCCTGCCGCATCCATCGGTAGCGGGGTTGTTTCTGAAACCTTCTTCCAGCATGAAAGGGCCCGGTATATCGGGATTTGGACTTCCATGGTCACGATCGGTGTCCCGCTTGCGCCTGTAATCTTTGGGTTTGTTGCTCTTCGTGTTGGATACCGCTGGATATACTGGATTCTGGCCATTGTATGTCTTAATTCCCGCTTGTTATTATGGATGAGACCTGGTTAACTTCCGTTTGGATAGACGAACGGTGTGCAGTTTATCTTATACTTCTTTTTCGGATCTGAAACGCGGTATATTAGCAAGGAAAGTCCGTCAGCGAGCGAGAAATCTTCGGCGGTGGCAAGATGGCTTTCGTTCAAGCGTATTGATCCCCAGACTTTGACTCTCTTGGACTTTATCAGCCCCTTGAAACTGGTCGTGCGGCCTTCCGTCATCATACCAGCGATAGCCTACTCCATGATTTTCCTATGGGGAAGCATCATGTTGGCCATCGAGATCCCACAGATCTACCCTCAAAAGTTCAGGTTCAACACCCAGCAAGTTGGGCTGCAAAATATCTCGTTGCTAGTGGGCATCATTGTCGGAGAGCAAATTGGGGGGATCATGTCTGACAAATGGATGTCACTGTCGACCCAGGACAAAAAGCGACACTCTCCAGAATTTCGCCTCTGGCTCAGTCACATTGGCTATCTTCTTACCATTGCGGGCATGGTGGTTTTCTTGGTTCAGCTGGAGAAGGCCACGTCTTGGGATATAACCCCCTTGATCGGTGCCGGGATTGCTGCTGCTGGGAACCAGGTGGTCACCACTGTATCCATCACATATTCGGTTGATTGCTACCCCCAAGATGCAGCCGCGATTGGCGTTTTTGTGACATTTGTACGCCAAATATGGGGCTTTATTGGGCCTTTCTGGTGAGTTTTTGTACACTGTTCTCCTCACTTGCGAATAGCTGTATTCTAACATTACATTTTGACAGGTTTCCTGAAATGATTGCAGAACTTGGACTGGGAAAAAGTGCCGCGGTCTCCACTGCACTCATTATTGCAGTTTCGATCCTTCCTACAATGCTTCTCCAGTGGATGGGTAAGACTTGGCGGAAGGGTTGACTAAATGTCATTCCTCGGCGTTCAAGCCTAGGATATTTTGGCGCGAAGGGTGTGAAGCAGATAGATTGGATAGTATGTGAGAGATATGTTGGTAGAGCTTCCTTCTACTTGGCTTGGGAGATGGCGCTCAAAGAACATATGATGACATTGAATGTTGTCAAGATTTGTTGATAAAATGTTGAAAACAAAAAAAGGCCCTATGATGAACTTACATTGCGAATAGTAGCTAATCTACACTTCCCTCGTGCAACGATTTTCTTAACCAATCTACGAAAGTTTTGCAAAATCGTAAATGTATTCTCTGATGACCACTTATACATCTACATCGCTCATACATGCTGGACTTCCATCCTCGCTTGAAGATTTAGAACGAAACTGCCAAAGTCACATTCAATAAGCCTAGGTAGCATTTGTCTTAAGCCCGCTGTCAAAGCGACGTGCGCCATCTTGCGGGGAAGCGGATATTGAGATCGTGGGGGACAGATGGGCTGCGGGGAAGCCGTTTCCGCCCAAACACCCAACAGGATCCCGGCTACCTTAATTCCTATTGGCTCAGAGGAGCTACATCCGGAGTTGATGTGAGAGTCATGGTTCGGACAAATATCATGGCAGGTCCATGAGATTGCTATGGAAATTATGAGAAGAGTTTAAAGGCAGTTTGCTCAAGTCAATTAACCAAATCCAAAAAGCAAGTCGATTCACTCCTCTCGCATTTTCATCATTGAAACCATATACATCATGTCAATCCATTTAGTACTCTCAAACAGCCCTGTTGTTTATGGGATAACGGCTGCCGTCCTCTCTGGGGTGTTGGTCAGTTACATTGTTTACCAACGTTTCTTCCACCCGCTGGCCTCATATCCTGGACCCTTCCTAGCCTCGATCACGGATCTTTGGCAGGTTTTCCAATTCCTTTCACTCAATCAGCCGTATCATCTTACGGAACTGCATGCAAAGTATGGGCAGTTCGTGCGTTATGGGCCAGACAAGCTGAGCATCACCGCGGAGGAAGCAGTGCCTCTGATTTATCAAAGAGGAGGCAAGAATATGCCAAAGACCGAGTTTTATGATGGTGTGTTAAAACATCATATATGGCTTAATATATTTGATTCGTTTCTGACAGCTTTCTAGCTTATGGAGCAAAGATTCCCAACGTGTTCGGCATGCGAGACGAAAACGTGCGATAGTACCTATAGAAAACAACATAGTATATGTAACTGACAAATCAGCAGATACACTCGATTCGCAGACGCCATATGTCGCATAGTTTCTCCATGTCTTATATCAAGGGTATGGAGCAATATCTAGACGAGAACATGGTCATCCTCTGTGGCAAGATTGCTGGATTCGCCAAGACGGGCGAGGCTTTTGACCTCAAGAAAGCGCTTCACTACTATGTCATCGATGTGCTGGGCGAGCTTGCTTTCAGCCAGTCGTTCGGCATCCAAATCACAGACGACGAATCGCGGGTGCCGCCTGTTGTCGAGCACAGTCTTCTCAGCGCCGTAACGGGGGCCTGGCCAGCCATGACCAGCACCCTGCGCAAATGGTTACCCGTCGTTCCACACCCAAGTCTGAAGGCTCTCTTTAAGGGCCGTGCTGACTGCGCTGCCCTTGCCTCGCAGTGCGTCCAGAGACGACTGAAGGACCTGGAGGGGGTGGCCGAGGATGCTAAAGACCAGCGGAAGGACATTCTGACCAATTTGATCTTGGCGACTCACCCAGACACGGGTGAGCGGTTGGCACAGCATGATTTGGAGGCAGAAGCATTTGGCTTCATGTAAGTGTGACTGTCAAACTCCCTGGCCTTGCATAGAACAAGGCTGACAAGACTGCTGCCAGTATTGCTGGAACCCACACGACGAGCGCAACCACGACGCTGCTCTTCCATCACCTCTTGCATGCGCCAGACATCATGTCCAAGTGCGTCGCGGAAATCGACCAGAATCTTGGATCACTTGAAGGAAACTCCGTGTACTCGGTTACCGAGGCAGAGACATCATTGCCTTTCGTCCGCCAATGCGTAAGGGAGAATTTCCGCCTGACACCCGTCTTCACCATGCCGTTGGCTAGACGAGTCATGGCTCCCGAAGGCACTGTCATAGCAGGCCATTATATCAAACAAGGCGTAGGTGACCTGGTATACACACTTCCCCAGATGACTGTCAGCTAAGATCCCGTGTATGTAGACCTCTGTGGCCATCTGCAACCACTCTTTCCACCACAACCCTCAAATATGGGGAGAAGACCACAATGTCTTCAACCCGGATAGGTGGGAGGTACCGGAAATTGCACAGCGTGCTCGTTATCTGATGCACTTTGGTCTAGGCGGCCGCCAATGCGTCGGGAAAACGGTGGCCCAGACGAACATTTACAAGCTGGTGAGCACGTTGCTCAGGAGGTTTGATTTTCAGTTGGCGGATTCTGAGGAGCGAGAGCGAGCGGCTCGGGGAGAATTCGTTGGGAAGCTTCCAGAGATGATTAGTGTAGGAATAAGCGATCTGAAGCATCCGCTGATGGTTAGAGCTCGAGTAAGAGACATGGCTGAAGCATAGACATCTAGTTGTAGGTATTGATAGATGTAAGTAACACCATAGTGGCTATAAGGCAGTCTGAAGTCTGTTAGACCTACATAGCGCCGCTCTGTATACGATAAACGAAACCGAGACAATGATCTCTATATCCTCCGCATCAACTTGAGGGTCTATGTATGTGTAGTGTTAGTGCCTAGTATGTAGTTGGGGAAAAGTATGTGCCCCATCCCCACGCAGCCCAGAGTTTAGCTGGCCCCTCCCCCGGAATCTCGCCCCGCGTTCTTGATCGATCTTCCGGTTTGCCGTGATAAGAGGAGGAATCATACTATTTAAACGCCCCCATCCACAGCTGCCCTGGTCCTCTCTTCTCTGCATCTACCCAATACCTGTCCTACTCTTCCTTTCGTCATGTTCAGCAGTCGACCGTTGACCAAGCGACCCCGAGCTGCAATCGCTTGCAACCGTTGTAGACAGGCCAAAGCCAAGGTAACGACCAGTTTTCGGTTCGAATTACTATCAAGGCTGACTAGATCTCTATACAAGTGCGACAGCGAAAGACCCCAATGCGGGCGATGTGCCAAGGAGGAGTCGGAATGCGTCTACTCTAATGATGGTCGCCGGAAAAGGCAAGCTCATCAGAGGCAAGTGAGAGAATACGCACTATTGTCAGCATTTACAGGACTAATTGCAGCTATAGAGCTGAATCTGATCTTAGTGTGCGGGTTAGAGACATCGAGGTGAAATTGGCATCCGTGTGCGGATCGGTTGAAACAGTGCCGGACACATTCGGTCTGGGTTCCGAACCAATTCCTATCCCATGGGCTAATGACAACGAAAATTCATCGGTCAATTCGAGCATTGGGCCCTATGTGTCCAGCTTCTCTCAAGCCACTCCGTCTTACACCGAGTCATTTCCCGATGTTCGAGCCACGGGGCTTTTTGATCACCCATCAACTACCGATATGGGCTACTTTGGTGAGAAAGATGTTTTGTTTCCAACTGCAGCCTTCACTAATACCCGGCTTTTACAGGTTCGAGCTCGAATCACGCACTTTTCCGGTCGATAACCGCAGAGATTATAAACATTGGTTACAACCATGCGCAGCATTCCTTCGAGCCTTTCGGTCGGTGTCAGGGACTGATCTCTGGGAACCGTGTCCCCGGTCAAATATCTACAGATATCACATCCACTGAAACGGGATACCCGGAGCGCCGTGTTGCCCTTGAGCTGATCTCCCGTTTCTCAGACTCCACTGGCGCGGTTCTTCCCTTCGCTACTGAATCTGCCCTCGTTATAGAGGCGTGCAAGATTAGTGCAGACGCAGAGTTGGCCCCTGGAGTTCGGGCATTGCTCGATATTGTATTTGCCCATGCATTAGTTTCAGCGGACGAAAACGCAGCAAATGCATTGTACCTCAGGGCTTTTCATATACTCGAGATTCAGTCACAACACTTACCTAGCCTAGAGTCCCGTGAGTGTCTTCACGATATCCCGTATTAATTGAAAAAGCTTACACGGTTTGTCCAGTCCGGGCGTGCCTGTTGCTAGTCAGCTTTCAGCAAAATACCAGGCGAGCAATATCAAGTTGGTCGCCTCACTGTCTTGCTGTTAAGATGGCTTATGAGCTGGGTGTTCATGCCCCTTTTACCTACAAGGGCTTAAATAGCCAAGATAAAGATGCTCGCCTCAACCTTTGGTTGGGAGTGGTTACCCAAGACAGGTAATCAATGTCTGATTTGTACGATACGCATGTCCGATTTGCTTACCAAATATCTTCCGCAGAATTTTAAGCTCAGCACTTGGTAGACCAAGTCTAATACCATCTCATCACGTTAAATTGGATGTGTCGAGATATCTTGATTCTGATCGTAAAGCCGAACAACCAATCCCTATGTCTCTTAAGGAAAGTTACTTCAGGCATTTAACGTGAGTATTGTATACATAAGTTGGCCTATCGGTGTCTTAGTTTACTGAAAGATTCATAGAAACCTTCATCGGATCACTGGGCAGGCGATAGATGATATTTATGACCACAACATGGGAATATCCGACCACATGAGCTTTGATGATTTAGTGGCGAAGACAGTAGACCTCTCGAGAAAGTTAGATCAATGGCGTGTCAACTCATCTCCGTTCGAAATCTGCCAGCACAATCTCAAATCTTCAATCCCTTTGATAGGAACGTCGAGAGCAGAAGGGTTCGAAAACCTACTCTCCATCCACTACTACCGAACGGTATTGTTAGCCAACGGGCAGCTGCTTCTGCGAATACTGCAAGAGAGCACTTCGATCCGTCTTGGCGACATGGATATTTCCCACCAGATCGCGATAGCTCCCCTGCAACGTGATTATACGGCAGCCAAGGAGCTTTCGTGGGTGCTTTCAATTATTTCCACCTCTAATTCTGGATTTTTCGAATCAAATGCTACCTGGTGGGTTTGTAACTATGGTGGTGAGTCTACAGTCCCTTCTACACCCAGTTTCATTTCCGGAAGATGCTGACCTCGAGGCGCGCACAAGTGCTCACTCTCTGTCTTCATCTTATGGGGGTCTGGATACTTTCGCTCAGCAACCCCGCATACTTTGGACTACTGAGAATCAATCCGTCGGAAGTGCAGACTCTGCTCAAAGAAGCAGTCGATACATTGAAAGTGATTGGGGGAGAAAGCCTCATGAGTCGCAAGGCCCACCATTGCATACGACAGTATATTGAGTTCCTGGCCTCTTCTGGTACTTTGTTTACGCCCCAGATCGTTCCAATCGAGTGTGAAACTGACGTGGGCCATAGAACAAAGGATGGAATCAAATGACCTTGTAGGAATGGACCAAGCGGTGCCGTGGGCGGCGCATACTAATGTGGCTCTAGACAATGAACCTAACTTGGGAGATTTTCTCCATTCGCTGGACTCAGAGGATGCTCTACTGGGTGGTTTGTTGGGATCAGAAAGCTGGAATAGCGAAATACACGATATAGACCTACTACACTGATGTCACGTCTATCAACTGCTGAAGAGAAAGAAGAAAGAGAAAGAGATACTGTGGCTGATTGTATAGTACCTGGTCCAATAACAAAAAGCCCTTATGCGGGACAATAGCTTAGTGGTTTTCTTAATTTTAACCCTTGATTGCAGGCGCGAAAAGCATATCTTAATGTTTATTATGGTTAACTCGGGTGCTACGGATCTCCTATCGGGGAAACCGTGGGCCGTTAGCTCAGGGGTAGAGCACTATTTTTGCACTGCCCGCTGGCGGCCTCACGGGCGCGACCCAAGGAATTGGTTCGAGAGCTTAATTTGAGGCCGTCCCCAGCCATTTCGAGCCATACCCAGCCTTAGATTGATCGATTTGAGATGCGCCCACGGCAATAGACCAGTTCTAGAAGACGATGACGCGTCCCCTTATGCATTCGATGCGCTTGATCGCCCGACCTGGGCTCAATTTGTGCCGGCTTGGCAGGCGCCAAGCAACACCCCGGCCATGGTCGCAGCTATCGAGATTCTCAACCGCGTCAGCAAGACTAACTGGTATGTGCCGCTCTATTGACGATGACATCGATGGTCGCTGCTGGAATCAATGTCGAATCCATCCCAATTTGCGTCAAATATGTTCAGGTTCTTGGGGTTTCCCAATTGCCTGCGCCCTGCTGTGTGATGATCAGCTCGAGGATGCCGTGTCCTCAGCTTCACAGGCCATTAAATGGCGCCGCACGCGCTTGATTTCGCGTAATGGATGACTGAGAGTACACCTTGCTAATTCACAACAGAATTCAAGCAGTCACAATCACAATCACAATCACAATCGGGAGGTGGTAGTAGCTATGGCGAGCCCAAGTCTGAGGAACCATCTCTGCCGAAGAAGATGCTGGAGTCGGCAGCAACTACACTGGCCTCCATTGTAGTTCTCGCTCTCGGGTTCGCAGGTGCTGCTTACATCTATCACAGAAGCTACAAGTGGCTAGTTCTGCGAAAGATGACACGGGCATTCGAGCCTGGCGACCCAGTGTTGGAGCTGGCCGCCATTGGCAAAGATGTCCCGCACAAGAAAGGCGGAGAGGCAGATTACTGGGTATTGCGTCCGGAGCAAGACCGCGTCAACAGAATCGTCAGCGGGGAAGAAAAGGGACACTACTTTCTACTCGTGGGGGAGAAGGGCACTGGAAAGAGCAGCATGCTCATTGAGGCAATGCGCCAGATCGATGGTGATGCCGTTTCCATGTTTGAGGCGCACCCGGATACTGAGATCTTCCGACAACGGCTGGGAAAGGCCCTGGACTATGAGTTCCATGAGGATTATATCGGAGGCTATTTCAGTGAGCGGGGGCCTCGCGAATCCACCGCGCTTCTTGACATCGAACGGGCGCTGAACAAACTGGAAAAGGTGGCCATGAAGATGAGATCCGACCGCGGCAAGCCGCTCATTGTCATTGTGAATCAGATGCACTTGCTCCGAAATGTCGAGGAAGGCCGTGACCTGATTGAGCTTCTCCAGCAACGCGCCGAACAGTGGGCCGCGGCTGATCTCGTTACCATGATTTTCAACTCCGATGATTTCTGGGTTTATGAACGTTTGAAGCAGCTGGCAACTCGGATGGAGGTTATCCCGATACATGATTTACCCAGGAAGCAGGCGGTAGAAGCCTTGAAGAACTACCGTCTACGTTACCGTGGAGAGCGTCTTTCGGACAGCATGCTCGAACAGATCTACGCCAAGGTTGGTGGCAGAGTCAGCTTTTTGAATAGAGTAGCCAAAAGCGACGACATGCTTGCCAAGTGTGAGTCGATCAAAAATACCGAGAAGAGGTGGTTCCTAAACCAATGCTGGATCCTCGGAGCCGAGATGGATGACGACGTGATGGATCAGCAGAAGTGGGCAGTAAGTATTACCCGGCGTCAAATCCGACTCCCATTATAACGACATTTGCTCATTCTCCATTAGGCTGCTGCTATGACCTTGGCCCTGGCCTTGGTGGACAAGGAAAAGGAGATGGACCAGACTTACAGCCCAGAGGAGGGCCATATTCTGCCGTCCTACCCATTCCATATCGCGCAGCAAATCATGACCCGATGTGACTTTATTCGCGAGATGGACAGCCTGAATCTCCTGACAATTACTCATCATGCCGACGTCAGAGCCAGCAGCGTCCCCATGCAGCATGCGTTTAAAGAAATCTGCTCCCAACCGGACTTCCGAGAGTTCTTGGAGGCAACGATGAACAGAATCGCCGACATCGAGAGCTTGGGCCGAACCCGAGAACTGGTTGCCAAAGATCTTGTTCTTGGGGGCCAGTATGAGATCGAACACAACCGCAAGTCGGTTACTGTCAAGTTGGTTCAAAAGGAGGAAGAGGAGGACTAAGATCGACAGTCCCCCAACTCTTACGCCCTAATGTTCTACCGACTTCACTACACACTCTTTGACATATTCTCTTATGCCTCTCGACATTTACCTTTCCTTCAGTTGCTTGTTTTCTCAATGTGCATATTCTCACATATAATTCAGAGCCCTGGCAGGCATGTATTTCTACACATACTGTACACACACCCGCACTCACTATCTTTATTTTCTTTTTTGTCTTTCTGCATATTTCCTTTTTTGTCCTTGTTTACCCAATTGAGAACGCGAAAATCAAAACTGGCTATGTATTTATTAGTTCCGACCTGACGCAAAAGCGATAGATTTCCTTGGATCCGTAGCATGAATGCAACAAAGCAGAGTACCTATTATCAAGAAATGCAAGTGGTTATTAATGCACAATCGGTGTCATGTACAAACACTGGCAGTTTGTTTGTTTGTTTTTGGTACTAGTGCTTGACTTGTGCAAGTGCGAATGTCACTCGCTGTGATGCGGTTGCCTATTTCGGCGAGAGCTGCTGAGGAATCACGTCGGCCTCAGATCCAAGGCATCAACTCCCTTCCACCCTTCAGTCTCAAGGCCAATCGCCCACCCTCGATAATTTTACGAGTGTCACCACCTACCTAACCTAAGGTAATCATCGACGCGCCGCCTTTGATTTTTTAAGCGCCCCACAGCCAGCGCTCCTCGAGATTCCTGTCGCGACAGCGGGATGCCAGCACTGCACTCGACTACCACGAAGACGTGAGAGCCGGTCAATGCCAACAAGTGCAAGCTCTCGGTGGCCCAATTTTCGCTTTGCCTCATCGTTGTGAGCGAGAGGAGGTCCGCAATCCAAGCAGGATAACGCGAGCGCATCCGCATCCAGCCCCGGGCCATCAACCCCAAAACAACCCATCGCCTCTGCCAGGGACCAACACAATCAGATCGACTCTTCGCCAGAAAACACCGATACCCTGGCGCCTACGAACATGGCTGAGCTCGAGGACCCCCAGGCCCCCATTCACGGCCTCGGTGGTTATGATAACACCTCCATCTCTGGTGAGATGGACCAAGACTTTGGTTCGCTTGAGATCTTTGATAGCAACCAGACCGACGCTCCTTTTTCGTCGCAGGCAAACAATGTAGCTTTCGAGAATAACACTCAAGTACCCACTGCTGTCATGTCAGCAGAAGCGCCATCGTCACCCAAATCGAGGCGGTCCAAACGCGGTACCCACGCCGACGCAAGCTCATCCCGACGAGATCAGACCGATCCTGCAACTGACAGGGCGAGCCCCGGAAGCGACAAAGCATCCTGGCGATCGAAGCGAAAGCTCGCAAGCCCAGATGCTCCGAGGGGCAAGCGTCAGAAGAAGAACGGGTTGGCCGGAGCCAAAGAAACCGACCAATCTCACTCGACAGACGCGGTCAGCCCCGACGCTGAACAATCCAATCCATCTGAAGCGGCCAAACCGAGCGGCCAGAGCGCAACTGGAAAGTCTGCCAATGAAAGAGGTCCCATTGGCGCAGAATACGACATCGAGAATCTGGATGTAGAGAACCTTGCCAAGGAGGCCTGGAATGAGCACATCAACGGCAATGCGCGTCGAGAATTGGTCGCAGCCAGCGAGAAGGCGCAGGCAGCAGAGAACGATGTCGAGATGGCGGATGCCGGCGCCAATGGCGCAGAACACAGCGAACCCCAGCCAGAGGCGTCCGGGGATCAGCCCCAGAAATCTGACCCGACACCTCGCACGAGGCACTCAACACGGGGCAAGAAAGCGAAGCCGACCTACTTTGAGCAGCCTGTTCAGGATGCCCCTAATGAGAACGAGGATGAAGATGCAGGAGATCTCCCATCCCCTTCAGCAGCGACGCCTAAGCCACGAAAGAGAGCGAAGGCTGCCGCAAAGAAGGTCAATCGCCCCAAGCCTAAGGCTCCGTCACCTGCATCAGAGGAGGAGGAGGACGTGTCCGACGATGACGCCCCTCGACCTCGGCGAAATAGGATGGCTGGTTTCAAGCAAGGCCGGTTCACAGAGGACGAGCTGAGCCTCATCAGTAGAGCTGTAGAAGCTTTCGGAAGGGAGAATGACTTGAGTCAACCACAAGTGAATGAAGTAAGTACAGTTCCACAGACCACCTGCATCATAATCATATTTCTTATGCAAAATAGATGATTCACGCAGCCGGAGGAACATCTGCCGGCGAAGCTCACGCTCAGCTATGGGCACGTCTTTTTGCCGAATTACCCGACAGGCACCGACAGAAGATTATCAACATCACTCGCAAAAAGTTCCATAATTTCGTAGCCCGTGGAACTTGGACGCCAGAGCAGGAAGCCGAGCTGCGAGATCTTATTCAAGTTCATGGCACGAAGTGGTCACATATTGCTAGGATCATCAACCGTCATCCAGAGGATATCCGGGATCGGTACCGGAACTACGTTGTGTGTGGAGATGCACAGCGCAAGGACGCCTGGAACGAGGAAGAAGAGGGTCGGCTGGCACAGTATGTCATCGACGCCATGGTGGCCATCGACGACTTGCGGGCGATGCAGCCCACTCGAGAGTTGTTAAGAAAGCCATACGAGGAACTCATTGATTGGCAAAATATTAGCGAGCGCATGGATAGAACGCGTAGTCGACTTCAGTGCATTACCAAGTGGAAATCGATGAACTTGCGAATCCATAGCAAGGATCAGCTTGCGTCGCTACAGCCAGATGCCCGGATCTCGTTCAGCCTTGAGAAGGCCAGACGCCAAATCAACGCAATGCCTGAAGAGGAACGTCACCGTCTAGTGCTCGCGATCAAAAATACGGCTGCCGGAACGGAGGCAAAGATCCCATGGCAAAAGCTTGTCGATAAGTCATTCCGAAACGAGTGGCACCGGGCAACACAGGTTCTCCTTTGGCATCGTCTGAAGAAGACGGTTCCGGGCTGGGAAAGCAAGTCGGTTCGGGACGCTGCGCAGCACATACTTGACCAGTTGAACTCCAACGGCGAATTACCTGACGTCGGAGGGGATGGTTATGATGATGCAGAAGAAATGCGTGTCATCCAATCTTACCCTACACCTTCACAGACTAAGAAGGCAAATCAAGACCGAGTGACGGCACATGTTATTAGTGAGGAGTTTGTCACCAACTCGGACGATGAAGGGGGGACCAAGGAACCCGAGGGTCCGCCGGTGGAGGAAGCAGCTGAACTTGGCAACGACGATATCCAGATCGACCCCGCTCTCACTGAGGCCGTTGCTCTAGAAGGAGCACTGGCTGAGCCGCCCGAGTCCAGCAATGTGGATGTGCCGACCGCTGATGTGCCGACCGTTGATGTGCCGACCGTTGACGATGAGAACTCTCTCCCCAAACGAACCCCCTCTAAGATGGCGACCTACGGCAAGAAGAAGGCAGCTGCCAAGCGCGGTCTCATGCTCACCCAAGACCCGATTGAGGATGTTGAAGGAGATGCTCTCGACGCAGAGGACCAAACGAATGGGGGAATGAGGCCCAAAAAGACCCCAGTGCCCAGCAAGTTCAAGTCCCCAGGAGCGAAGGCCAACGAAGATGGGCAGGTACAAAATACCAGTCTCATGTCTAGTGACTTTGAGGACATGGAAGACCTACCAGCGCGAATCTCGGCCGCCTAGGAGTCGACGCAAGGAGTTGAACCAACCAGTGGGTGGTTTTAATGTGAAGAGAGGTGCGTGGCATTTTGATGCTTGTTCAGGGATTACAACGAGTCATATAAAGAATAAGCGGGTGATTGGGGCGTTTTTGTATTACTATATAACCTGGTCTCACTGGGAAAGAGTCGGGGAAAAATATTTTCCTGTGGGAAAATGAGATGTATGCTACTTGAGCATCTACAAAAGGGGATGGAGCATGGATGAGGAGCTCACTGTCTGCGGCATGGTTGCCACGTTACTGTAGCAGGATTATCGAGGAATGAAGGGGAGGGTATCGAGTAATAATTGCGTTCATCACATCGAGAAATTGAGATGGTGTTTATTGAGAGTTGATTAGATCTAAGGTTTTATGAGTGAAGAGCTACGAGAAACGACAGCGAGGACCGCCCTTTGCCCTCCCTTGTTTGCCTGAGCTGCACAACATGCAGTGGTTGCTGGTCCCATGAAGCCATACGCGACACCCAATCGTATACGCAGAGCCACCAGCGTAAGCAGGCGGACGACTAACGGGTAATGCTTTCCCCTCCCTGATAACAACGGCGCTCCTAAGCAACGGGAGGGCCGTTTGGCTGGAGCAGCGTGTTCTGATTAAGCTCAAGAAGTCGCCACAATTTACCCTTCCTCTGCACAACCTTACATGAAACAGACTACTAAGCCAAAGGGTCGAGCTTCTGATAAGGTTGGACAGGGATCCCCGATGCCTTGGCGGGTGAAGCGTCCGGGCAGACCAAGCCAATTGGGCAAGTGAAAATTGCGATCGCTGGGGCAAGGCATCATCTCATCATCCATCGCCGCTTGACATGATTGCGAGGAGCGTTTGCGTGATTGTTGCCTGTTTTCCTTTGGACGGTGTCTTCTTTCTGGGAGGAACATTGAACAAGAATTGACCGCCTCATTCCACGACTGCATTCTCTGCCATCTCTCCCTGCTTCACACTATCTCCCCGGATGCCTACAGGCCTGATGATTAGCCTGTGGAATCGCCACTGGTTACGGCAGTTCAGATATTGGCCCACGCTTGGCATTTCCTCCAGCCATCCCCATCCAGCCCCAGCTTTTCCTGGCCAATCCAAGCCGCGACGGAACTTCTGAAACATGGCGATAGAGTCTCCCTCCTCCGCTGCGAATGCAATTGTCCCTTCCCAGGAAGAGCGCGCTTCCGCTGCTGCAGGAACCTTTGGAACCTTTGGAGACAAGGGTGACCGCCCTTCTTAGCTCCCAGGCCAGTCGCTGGAACAGGCAGCTACATTCTATCGTCGAGGTCAACGGGGATCATCAGCGCCAGCTTAGCGCGAAGCAAAAGTGCTTGCGGCCTCCGTTTGTCTTAGAACGAAGCGTTCACGCCGTGACCTGGCCTTGGCCCCGACGCTGTGGCACCATCCGTCGGCTCGTCTGATACGACTGTCTCTGCTATCAGTCAGCCGCTTGTGCTCTGCGATGCCTGCTGCAGCGGGTTGCCACCTAGCTCCCCTCCACTTGGCTGCATCACCGTGCTGCTTGGCGTTGATGACGACGAGAATGCTGCTGATGATGGAGGCTCCATTCTGTGTATACCTGCCCTCCTCGGCTGCTCGTTGCCTCTCACCTCCTCCGGGAGGCCTGATCAAGGGGTCTGTGTAGATCTCCCCCTGGCCAGGAAGATGCATAAATAATACTCTATCCGCCCGCCCTCCTTGTTTGTCTTCTCTTTCCAACCATTGGAAGGACTGGGCTACATTCCATTCCCGGGGTCGCATTATCCATCCATCTTCCCTATAGTTTAAGCTTATTCCTCCTCCCCGACTCCTCACCCACTCCTCTTCACCCTCTTCCTTGGCCCAGTGGTTCATCCCAGTCTCTTCCAAAATGAAGACTGCCAATTCCCTGGCGGCGTCCACCGCCCTCGTGCTAGCAGCTCTCTCCAGCCCTGCCACTGCCGACCTGGTTGATTCCGAGTCGCTCCAGGCCCTCATCAACATCGAGGATCTCCTGGCCGGCTCCCAGAAGCTGCAGGACTTCGCCGATGCCAACGGCGGCAACCGCGTCTTTGGCAGCCTCGGCCACAACGCCACCGTAGACTGGCTCTACGACACCCTCAACTCCCTCGACTACTATGACGTCGTCAAGCAGCCCTTCACCGAGCTCTACTCGGAGGGCACTGCGACCCTCAAGGTGGACGGCCAGGACGTTGAGGCTCGCATCCTGACCTACACGCCGAGCGGCGAGTACACCGGCGCCCTGGTCGCCGTGGAGGGTCTCGGCTGCACCGCCGACGCCTTCCCTGCTGAGGTGGCCGGCAAGGTCGCTCTGCTGTCCAGAGGCTCGTGCTCCTTTGGCGAGAAGTCCGTTGCCGCCAAGGCTGCCGGCGCCGCTGGTCTCGTCATCTACAACAACGTGCCCGGCAGCCTCGCCGGTACCCTCGGCTCACCCTTCCTCGACTACGCCCCTGTCGTGAGCATCAGCCAGGAGGACTCCGTCCCCATCCTCGAGGCTCTCGGGGCCGGCGAGGTCACTGTTGACTTCAAGGTCGATGCTGTCGTGGAGAACCGCGTCAACTACAACGTCATTGCCGAGACCAAGGGTGGTGACCATGACAATGTCCTGATCCTGGGTGGACACTCCGACTCTGTCGCAGCTGGTCCCGGTATCAAGTAAGTCACATCCATTCATTTCACACGCCGCACGTGAGTAAAGTGCTAATATAATTTCGCAGTGACGATGGCTCTGGAACCATTGGCGTCCTGAAGGTCGCCGAGGCCCTCACCAAGTTCGAGGTCAACAACGCTGTCCGCTTCGCTTTCTGGGGCGCCGAGGAGTTCGGAAAGCTTGGATCTTACTACTACGTCAAGCAGCTCAACTCGTCTGACGAGGAGGTTGCCAAGATCAGGGCTTACCTCAACTTCGACATGGTATGTGTTTCATCTCATCTGCTCACTAATAATCCAATGCTAACCAATTATGCAGATTGCGAGCCCCAACTACATCTACGGCATCTACGACGGTGATGGCAGCGCGTTCAACCTGACTGGCCCTGCTGGCTCCGATGCCATCGAGAAGGAGTTTGAGGACTTCTACCGCGCCAACGGCGTCAAGTCCGTGCCCTCCGAGTTTAGCGGCCGCTCCGACTACGCCGCCTTCATCGAGAACGGCATCCCCTCCGGCGGTCTCTTCACGGGAGCCGAGGGTCTCAAGACGCCCGAGGAGGCGATCCTCTTCGGCGGCGAGGCCGGCGTTTCGTATGATGTCAACTACCACAAGATCGGCGACGACATCAACAACCTGAACCACGAGGCCTACCTGCTCAACACCAAGAGCATCGCCAACTCGGTGGCCAAGTACGCCCTCAGCTTCGACTCGCTCACCCCCGTCGACCTGACCAAGCGCAGGTGGGCTGCCGACCGGGCTTTGTTCCACAAGAGATCTGGCTTCCACAGTGCTCAGCATGGACATGTTGGTCCTTGCGGTGGCGGTGGTGTTACCCAGTAAAAAGAGATGAGATGATGAGAAGATGTATTATGTTTTGTAGAAAAGAATAGCGGGAGGACTATCAGGTCCATCAAAAGTAATAGAGGAAATGTTATGAGCCAACTAATTGTGCCATGCTTGGATTATTTTGATGTATGGAGACCATTTCTTATTAAAATCCACCTAAAATTAGCAAGACATGAGGTTTGAATAATAAGTGCATGTAGATTGCTTCATTCATTTCTCTAGATTCATGATGGGGGTGGTGGCATAGGGTAGCACGTATCTGAAGACGGCGGTGTGTTACAGTCACCAACCACCTCCACGGAAACAACAAGCACCATCTCGTCTGGATATGAACATACAATTCGATTAAAGACTAGATATAACTATATTTTGATATTTACTGATATTAGACGGGGACCATTCCCTCCCTCCACGATGGAGAAGACCGATCCAGGTCGCAGGATGAAGGTCCTCCTCCACTCCCACTTCCCAGCCGGCCACTGCTACCCCATGCAGGCCGCCGCGCAGTCCCTCGTCTCCCGCGGCCACCACGTCGTCTGGCTCACCAGCGCCGACAACGAGGCCCGCGTCCGCCTCACGGGGGCCGACTTCGTCCCTACCACCGCCATCGCCGCCGTCGACGCCGCCCTCATGCGGCGGCACGAGACGGGCCTGCTCGACGGCGACTGGACCCGCCACCGGGGCAGGCTGCTGGCCCAGGTGAACGAGTACCGATCCGTGCTGGACGACTTCGAGGCCGACGTGCTGCTGGTCGACGTGCTCCCCCACGGGGCGCGGGCGCTGTTCGAGCTAGGCGAGGTCCCCGTGTATGCGACCCTGGGCGTGATCCCCATGTACTCGTCGGCGTGGAAGGCGCCGCATGCCGTGTCGGGGAGGCAGCCTCCCACGACGTGGTTCGGGATGCTGGTGAATTGGTTGCGGCATGTGTATGTCCGCTGGATCGCCCTGCCATGGTCTCTCCGTCCGGTGTTGAATTATCAGCGATCTGTGCTGGGGCTGGGGCGTCTCCCGTACGGACAGCCGCTGGAGGCGTTTACGTACAGCCGCTTCCTGCACATCCAGGCGTCTTCGCCGACTCTGGAGTTTGGGATGAAACCTGCACATCTTGAAAACGTAACGTACGTCGGCCCCCTGGTAGCGCAGCTCAAATCCCCCTCGACGCAGAACCTACCAGACTGGTGGGAGCGGGCGGCCGCGCACCCCCGTGTCATCGGGATCACGCAGGGCACGCTGGCCATGCACCCGACGTCCCTCATCGTCCCGTCCATCGAGGCCCTCAGCCCGGACCCCGACAACCTCCTGGTGGTCGTGTCGCCGCACTCGGCTGAGCTGGAGGAACGCTTCGGGGAGGGGAGGCGCGGGAACATCCTCTACGCGGACTGGCTGCCGTATCACCTCCTGCTGCCCCTGCTGCGCCTCCTGATCACCAACGGCGGGTACGGGAGCATCACGCAGGCGCTCTCCCACAAGGTGCCCCTGCTGTGTGCTGGGCAGACCGAGGACAAGAAAGACACGGCGGCGAGGGTGTCGTGGGCTGGGGCGGGGATCGACCTCAAGACGGATAACCCTTCGGCTGGGCAGGTGCGAGCCGCGGCAGACCGGATCCTGGATGATAGTGGGAGTTACTTGGAGAATGCTACTCGCCTGGGCGAAGAGTTGAACGCACTGGGTGGCGGGGAGATGGTGTGCGATGCGCTGGAGGACCTTGTACGACGGACGAGGCTTACGCAGAAGCCGTTACAGGATATCGGCAGGTGGTGATGTTTTGATCTGGATGGAAAAGAGACATGGGAGTTCTTTGCGGTTTCAACCGCCTGATTCTGGCGGAATACAACGTTTTAAACATTTGCATAACATGGCGGTGGCTTTCGAACTCTAGATACGGAATTTTGGAATATATTCACGGGGACAACAGTTTTGTTTTGTCACGTTTATATTGAGATTGCTTTATAATGTTCGGGTTTAGTTATTGGTTTTGTGTTCCTTTAACGACTCAGAGGTATCCTGCCCAGTGGCCTCCCGCTCTGAACCATCCTCGTTGAAGAGCGTCTCTTGAGCTATTCTAGTCGTTAGCATATAGGGTAATGTTGTTAGCAAGGAAAAAAAAGACTTACCGCTCCAAAGTTCGGAATATACTCCGTCGTGGTCGATCAGCTCACGGTGAGTACCCGTCTCAGCCACCTTCCCATCCTTGAGGACGATGATCAGGTCCGAGTCGAATATCGTCCTCAACCTGTGCGCCACAAATAGGCTCGTCCGACTCTTCTCGCGCAATATGCCGTTGATGTTGTTCATGAGCGCCTGCTCGGTGTGCGTGTCGAGCGCGCTCGTGGCCTCGTCGAAGAACAGCAGGGGAGGGTCCTTGAGGAGCAGTCTGCTCACGGCCAGCCGCTGCTTCTCGCCGCCAGAGATCATCATGCCGCGCTCGCCGACCTTGGTGCCGTACCCGTCGGGGAACTTCTCGATGGTGTTGTGGATGTGGGCTCGCTGGGCGGCGGCTTTGACCTCTTCGAGAGAGGCGTTGATCTGGCCGTAGCGGATGTTGTGCTCGACCGTGTCGTTGAAGAGGGGTGTATCCTGAGGCACGACACCGATGGACTTTCGGAGCGAGTCGACCTGGACATCCCGGATGTCCTGATCATCGATCAGGATCCGGCCGCCCTGCACGTCGTAAGACCGGAATAGGAGGCGCAGTAACGTTGATTTTCCGCAACCACTGGGACCCACGATGGCGACCTTCTTGCCGGCTGGGATAGTGAGTGTGAGATCTCTCAGGATTGGGCGATCAGGGTGGTAGGCAAACTTGACGTTCTCAAACTTGATCTCGCCGCCCTTGCTGAGCACGAGAGGCTGGGCATCTGGCTTGTCCTTGATGGTGACGTTGACCTTTTGCAAGTTGAAAAGAGTCTCCATATCTAGCAGACTCTGGCGCAGTTCGCGATAGACGGATCCAAGGAAGTTGAGGGGCACGGAGAGCTGGAACACAAGTTGGTTGACCATCACCAAGTCACCAACAGTCAAGGAACCCGAGGCCACGCCGGTGGCCGCCAGATACATCATCCCCGTCAGAGCCGAGGAGAAGATGATATTCTGGCCGCTGTTTAGAAACGCTAGAGAAGTGGCGACCTTTATCGAGTTCTGCTGGTACTGCTTCAGGGCGTTGTCGTACCGCATGACCTCAAACTTCTCGTTGTTGAAGTACTTGACAGCCTCGTAGTTGATGAGCGAGTCCACGGCCAGCGTCGACCCCTTGTTGTCAGCAGCGTTGGCCTGGCGCCGGAACTTGGTCCTCCACGCCGTCGTCCAGATGGTGAAGGCCGAGTAGCCCGCCATGGTCAGGACCGTGATGGCCGCAAATTTGAAGCCGTACTGCCAGGTCAGGATCCCGCACACCATGCTGATCTCCAGAGCCGTGGGCAGGAGGTGGAACACCATGCTCGTCAGCAGGAAGCTGATGCCCTTCGTACCGCGGTCCAGCGCCCTCGTCAACCCCCCCGTCTGCTTGGTGAGGTGGAAGTTGAGGTCCAGGCGCAGCAGGTGCTCAAACACGTTGCGCGCGACGCCGCGGATGGCCTTTTGCGCGACGCTCGCGAAGACGGCGTTGCGCAGCTCCTGGAAGACGGTCGCGCCGATCCTGGAGGCGCCGTAGGCGAGGATCATGCTCCCCGCCACGGCGCTCACGGTGCCGCCCATGGCCGCGACGTCGATGTTCATCGAGTCGACGATGCTCTTGAAGTAGAAGGGCACCTGGACGTTGAGCAGCTTGCCGCCGACGAGCAGGGTCACGGCGAGGCCGACGCGGAATTTGGTGCCCAGGTCGTCCTTGGGCCACAGGTACCGGGTCATCTCCTTCATGATGGCCCAGTCGGCCTTGCGCTGCTCCGCCGTCGACTTGTCGGGCAGCGCGAGAGGGTCATTCTTGACGGTCGCGGGCTTCGGCGCTTGCTTGCTCGCAGCAGCAGCGATTTTCGCATCGGGAGAGGGTTTCGTGGTCGTGGTCGTGGTCGTGGCCGGCGTCGGCGTCGGGGTGGAGGTAGACGCCTGCTCACGGCGAGCGGCAGAGGTCTGGAGGGGTTGGCCGTAGCCCAGGACTGGCCGCTGCGGATGCCATGACGGGCGCGTCTGGGTCTTTGCAAAGGTGTACACGGGGTGTTTGCAGGCCGACCGGTAGGCCAGCCGTGGAATCATGGTAAGTGATTATGCCAGGGCGAGAGGGCCGGCTCGTCTCAATTCGGGCAAGGGGTTTGGGGGCTGCTGGCGGCTTCAGTGACGACACCTACAACCCGCCACAACCGAAGGCTGCAGGTATTGCGGTCGCTGCTCGTTCGGCGCGCTCGAAATTCGTAGTTGACTGGCGTAGAATTTAAAAGCACTTCAGCATTGGCACTGAGGTCGCTCCCATTGCCCTACTGCCAGAGCTCTCCTGAGGCAATTTCTTGTGCGCCGCGGATCTTGGGCCAAGCTAGAACTTTAAATAGCTACAGCTTCCGAGTGTCGTGTGCTGCTGTGCTCGGAGCCAAAACGACTTTGAACCGCACAATGATGCAATCGGCTTATGGCCTTAGGCCCCATATCCAGCAATGGGCCCCTGATGCACCCTTTTGGCTTCAATGTTTTTATCAGCAACTGGGTAAGTCGTGTTAACCTCTTTAATTTCTATCTCGCCTTATTTTTACATTTTGCTATGTCGGAATGAGGTGAACTCTTTGTTACAAGCATTACGCCGAGCACTCCATGTACATAGCACAGGTATATGCCATGCCTTGGTCAAAATCTATAGAGCTTCATTCTGTGCTCTATTTCTCCCGTCGCAGCTTTCGTCTCCGGACCCATACCTTGCACTTGGATGCTGGCATCTTCGTAGGGCCCCGATTCACCGTCTTCACCGTTTTCCAGGGACCCTCCTCGCCCACGGGGTGGAAGTCGTACATGCTGATAATCGCCGACGTGAACATGAGCAGCTCTCGCACCGCCAAGGGCCCGCTCTCGCTTAGAACTAGTTGTCCCTCTAGATATAAGGAAAACAGAAAGAATCAGTCTTGCATGCTTCATTTACGTGACGCGGTAGCGCTAGGAACTCGAGTGGTGAACTTACCGTGGGGTCTGATATTTCCCATATCGACTGATACACTCTTGGCGCCCTTGGGGTCGACACTTTCCTTCAAATGCCTCTTGGCCTGCCATTCCTTGGGGCTTTCAAAGTACTTGGGGTCGGTGTGGTGCGTGTCATGCGGAACGTGAGCATACGTGCCCTTGAGAAGCATGCAGTTATCGCCTGAATCCTTCTCCTTGAGCACCAGGTCCTGCTCCATATACTTGACCGACCATGCACACGAGTATACTCTCATCGTCTCAACGTAGGCCGCATTCAAGAGCGGGCAGTTCTCCACCAGAGCTTCGACGTCGAGAGTTTTGATCTCCGGGGCAAGCCATACGCCGGGGCCGAACTCGTTTTTGGGATGACACGCATCGACGTGAGGTGCAATCTCCTCATGGATCTGCGCCAACAGGATGGGATCCTGGCTGATCTCATATATCATCCAGAAGACCAGAGTGCTGGTTCTGGAATTCAGGGCCCAGAGCAGAGCCAAATCGCAGGACGCACGAGCCTCGATGGGCACGTTGTGTTTGCGGAACACCATGGCGCGCTGCTTGATCAGGGTGCCGACATTGCTGATGTCCGACCACTCCACGCTTGGCTGGCGGCCCTCAAAGTAGTTTTCCAATTCGCGGTGGAACTCCCTCAAGTACCTCAAGAGCCTCCTTCTGGCGAGCAACGCCCTGTAGAGCGTAGAATCGGGATACCACCAGGACAGTTTCATGGCCAGCTTGGGGACACCTCTATCATACTCCCACAGAAGAGTTGCGAAATCCTGGAAGTTGTCGACGAAATCAGAGCCGAACAGCCCCGAGTTGGCTGTTTGGGCCACGAAGTTCCTGACGAGCTCCAGCAGGTCGAGGTCGGCATAGATCTTGCCCGATGGGCTCTCCTCCACCACATCGGACGCGGCCAACCGCTCCCAGTCAGATTGGTCGGCTGGGAAGTGATTGAAAGTCACCAACTCGCCGATCCTGTTCCTAAGATTGATGGAGGTGATCTTGGTGGCTTCACTTAAGCTGGAATCCGAAAGAATGTACTTGAACTGGGCATTGAGCTCAGGCAGCACCTTGCGGTAGATCTTTGTGTGACGGCTCTTGAGGCCAAAGTTGGACCGCATCAGGCTCTCTTGAGCCCATTCATCGCTGGCGACCGACTGCGGTTGGCTCATCAGCGTCGCCACCCATGACGGGCGGTAGATGACTGTATGTGTCTGCCAAAGAACGGAGAGAGAGAAGGCGCCCTTGGGATACTTGTTGCGAACTGAAGCGAGGAAGCCGTTTACCCTCAAAGCCAGCTGCGGAACGTGACCCAGAAGCGGTACCCAATACCCTTGTCTTGGGGGCCTGCGGGCGTCATCTGGGCCGGATTCCGACCTCCCGCTCAGCAGCCTCGTCGTTATAAGCATCACCAAGACTGTGATGAGAATAGTTGCCGTCCTCGGCTCCTGCACTTTGGCGATGAGTGCCTCAGCGACCTCGCTCAGCTGTTGGGACACATGGTGGCTGGCCATGGTGCCGAGCCTCCGTCTGTCGTGAATTCGCGATGCTGTCAACCGAAGGAAAATGCACCAGAAGACCTTGAGCAGACCAATTCGGTGAAAAAACAAAACAAGATGCGAGATAAATGAGAGCCAGGACTTGTAAATGCTTGATAGGAATAAATTGGGTTCAAATTGGATGTCATACAGTGTCCAAACGCATGTGGCGGTGCTGGATTATTTTAGGGGGCTTACTGCGCTGTACGGCCTGCGCCACATTCATGTTGAAAATGGGTGCAATCTGTCAACAACGTTTTATTAGTTTTCATTTTTGAGAGCCTTGAAAAGTGTATCTGTATTTGTGATGAGTTAACCATAGTATATTTGCTATTGAGTACGCTTACGCTGTGTATTTCTTTTTTCCCTACCGCAGAAGGCGGGTTGAGACATGGCAAAGCTGCCATTCTCGGGGTATCAATTCTCGCTGTTGCTATCTGAATCCTGGAGTGCCTCTTGTTCTGCAGCTTCATTGTTATCTGAATTCTGGAGTGCCTCTAGTTCTGCAGCTTCATTGTTCAGCCTCATGACCTCTGCCCGCGCACCCGCCCAGGGCTTTCTCTTTCCTTCATCAAAGATCCTCCAGCAAGCGCTGGTCAACAGACCGTCCATAAGTATCTTCCAAAACTTCCTCTCCGTCCACCAGAAGACCCATCCCTTCCATCCCCATCCAAGCCGATCCAGCACTCCTGTCCCAGCAGTCTTGTCTGCCCATCTCGTCCACTCCATTTGGGGCACGGATGCTGGAACAGGGCTTCCCTTTAGAGCTAACTTGGATACCCTCTTGTTCTGATTGTCCACCCACTTTTGCCTCTCAGCTGGCGGTGGGAGTTTCGATTTGTCAGCCCAGACCTGGGCGATGCACATACTCGCAAGGTCAGCCAAGAGGAATGCCCCAGTGGGATACCAGACGCAGCCCAGGAATGCAAGTGTGTCGGGGGTCTTGAGCGAGAAAACGTTTTGATATAGCTGAGGCAATGGGCGACCCCGGGAGCCTGGCGCCTCGAGCCAGCTCGGAATCTTCTCCGTGCAAGGGTCGTACTCAGTCTCCAGGATGCTCAAGTCGTTTTGGTATCCGGTGCAGCAGATGACTGTGTCCGCTTGGATCTTTTCTCCGTCTTTGAGTTCAACCTCTGTGGGGCCTGTGAAAGCACCAAATCCCGAGACTGACTTTACGTGGCCAGAACGCAGGCAGTCGATCAAAGTATCTGACACCACTGGAACAGTGACCTTGGGAGAAGGGATTGGCTCCAGGTTCCATGATGGATCTAACTCCCCAAAACTCTTTTTCATGATGGCTGCTGCTCCGTCGGTTACCTTCTTGTCTAGCCAGTCTGGAAAAAACCGTTCGATGAAAGCTTGCGTTTTTAAACTCCTTAGTGAGACTAGGCGGGAATTGGGTTTCCCATCAACAAAACGAGGTAGCTACTCAGGGTCAGCTTATTCTTGTCTGTTCAGTCAGTTATCGATTGTTGGACCTACAACCAAGGCCCCACGTTCATGGGAGAGATGAATTTCAGAGGCAAACCCCAAGAGTGAATTTGCGATATCTCCAACTGTGTTTCCCAAGCCTACAAGCAAAACTCTTTTACCATCAAAGTCTTCTGCTCTAAAATCCAGGAAAAGAAACTCATTGTTAATCAAATTCGGGCTAGGTGAGAAGCAGGGGAGAGAGGTTCGGTGCCATACCTTTTGAAAGCTTGCGCATGGATTATTTCGCCTTGGAATAGTTCCGACCCCTTCAACTCCGGCATCAGCGGCTTGGCATGAGGGCCGGTCGAAATGACCAGTCTGTCGAAGTATCTTGAAGGGCCATTATCGAAATCTATCCTCCACTTATTTGAGTCCTTTTCTCTTGCTGCATGCGTGACCCTCGCGTTAAACCAAAAGCGAGCGCGAAGACCATTGTAGTCTACGTAGTCTTCCAGATACTGCTGCATGACCTGCGCACAAGTGAATGGGGGGGTGCCTGGATCCTTCAGTTAATTGCGTCGTAAGATACCCAAAAGTGCATGAAACAACCCACCCTCAGGAAACGGAAAATCCGTGAAACATCCCTAGAAGGAAGACTTGTTAGATTGCTGCCAGTGGCATGGGAAACAGGCTCGAGCCCTGCTGGTACTCACTCGATCGGTAGTGACGTTGATTTCCGTGTCTGTCGCCCAACACTGGTTAGCATATGATGGCACCATCCGGCTCTGCTCCTTTGGTCACTAATCTGCCAGCCTACCTTCCAACGCACTCAAGGTGTCTTTGTCCTCGGTAAAGTGCCAAACACCGCCGAGGTAGGTTTGACGCTCAAAACCAGTGACATCGAAACCCTCCTCCAGGAGGTTTTTGACCGCAACTATGCCCATGGCACCTACGGTGATGAAGCAACCAGGTCAGTATACTGCCAACAGGGAGCATGCAAGCAAGCCAAATATCTGCACTTTGATAGACATACCAAGGCCTATGACAGCTACGGTCTGTTGATGCGGTGCCGTCGTCGCCGCCATGGTCGCAATGTGCTGTTGATAATATTAAGAGGAATAAGCAATGATGATGTACTGCATGATGATGAAGAATGAAAGGTTGACGAAGACTGGAATGAGGAAGGGAGGTCAAGGTGAGCTTTTACGATGCCGCGCCGGTCAGACCTTCTATGTAGGTAGGTACAGAGGAAGCAACCTGCCTTGAAGGGCCGGACCAAATCAAATCAAACACATCCAATACGCATCACGATACCATTGGACTTGCAGCGCCATGAGCGTGCGGGTCACGGCCAGAGGAAGCAGCAGGGGGTTCGGGGGGATTCCTGCTGGGCTATTGTGGCCTCGGCCGTCAATAGGCCTGAGCCCGCTAAGCTCGAGTGCTAATTAGGCACTCGAGTCTACATTAGGGGTTTGGGATTAGGTGCTCCCCACCCCTGTATGACCCGGTGGCCCAATAGAGACCGCTGTTATACCACGATTACCTGCAGAGAGCCGCTAATGTAGTTGCAGGAACTTCCGCTGTCGCCAAGCCCTAGATCTTCTTGTCTGCTGTGACATGAAGCTCATTCCGCGCCGTATGTTGCCTATTCCTGGCTTGCCATTGGCACAAAAACAAAACACCTACGCGTACTGCCTAGATGGTATATTGACTCAGCGGATGTATCAACATGGGTTGTTCGGACGGTCGCCCTAGGTGCAACCCTATTTCACCTGCTCACTTCGCACCTGCACCTGCATACCTTAGCCTAAGTTCCTCGCCCAGTTGGATGTGCACGTTTGTCTTAGGCTACATAAGGCTATTGCTACCTCATGCACCTGCCTCTGTTTTGATGTTGGTTGACATTCAGCTTACACGACAGGTCATCTTGTTGTCTCCCTACTTGGCGCCGTGTGAGATTAAGAGAACGCCACGGAGCATCAGGGCGCTTATGGCATCTCATCAATCCAGTTCCGATATCGAAATCAGCATTATCAACCCTGTCCTCGAGTCTGAATCCATCGTATTCGACTCGAGGACTCGAAAACCCCATGTCCGGGATTAGCTGCGCCTGGCTATGCATGCATGCCATTTGTTTTCCGCATGGCTACTAGGTGGGACCTCCGAAACCCTTGCAGGGCGTAACATGGGATCGCGGCGAGAACTCAGAACGGAATCCTGAGCGGAGGAGGAATGTACTGCTTACGGGGCAATTGGATAATGCCAGCTGCTAGCTCAGCATAGCACACAATGTGGCGTCCATCTTGCCGGCTCGAGCCATCAATCAGAACACGCAGCCATGTGTTAAAAGACTCTGTTTCAGAATGCGGTGGACAAGACTCTGCCCAGACATCAAATAGTCAGCTGTTTTGCCGGTGATGATGGGCAGCGGTGACGAAAATGGAAACGTCCCAACAAGCCATCCGTACAAATACTTGGCGTCCTTTCGACCAAAATTTCTAGAAACCCATAAATACTTATTAACGAGTTGCCTAATGCGGGTTGCTGTTGGGTTCATTAGAGGCATTCCCAGCTGGTGCGGGCGGTTTTATTTCCGCAAGTACAGATATCCCATCCATGGATCTCAGCTGGAGCTCATCGGAGCCTAGGTCAAAACCTGTCATAGTGCCTGCTGTAGGGCAGCCAAAAGTGCCAACTAACTCATCAGCAAGGTCGAGGCCGGCGGCTTAGGTTTACATAGGGTTAAGGTAATCAGCACCAAGGAATGTAATGGCGCCTGGAATCACCAACCGCCGTGCACCATAATCAATAACCTGGCTCCCTCCTTCAGCTGATTCCCATCAATGGCTGGCCACGTTTCTCATTATGTCATTTACCGATTCAATGCCACGAAAATCAATATCGAATTACCCTAGTAAGGCCATCACATGATACCGTTGGGAGCGCGTTTCATTGCCGTATCATGTGCAGGGTCTTGCAGCCGTTGGTCCTTAAAGAAGGCCGGACAACGTCGTGTGATCCGAACGCTCTGCAGTAGCACGAAACTCAGGTTGTTCCCCTCCCTTCGCTTGGATATCCGGAACGGAAAGATGTGATTTCGACGCCCAACACATCCGGGCAAACCGAACATTCAAGGTCTGTGCTCGGTACCGAAGGGCTCCCTCCCGTTATCAGATGCCTGAATGGTCACTTGGCGACGGGCGCAGCCGATGTCATTTCAACGGGTTGTCCAATGCCACTAGATCCCGGTGAAGAGTTAACTATTGGGGCTGGAAGATCAATGTTGGTGTGCTGACCCTGTTACAAGCCAACTAAATAGTGGCTTTTGTTGAAAGTACCTACACGTATTGAAGGTAAAAATCTTTAGATTTCAGGTCACAGCCTCAAATCCATTGGCCAAGGCATCGAGACTATCAAACTTAAGTACTGACTTCCCCTTATTGATGACACATACTTGTCAAATCGAATCCGCAACATCTCGATTTAATATACAAGGTTCATTCATGCACAGTAGATCTCTGACGTACCTACTCATCATGGCTCAGAAGTCTCAACGTCCGATTCTCCCCTGCTTACCATCACGAGCCCCGATGCGCCACGAGCTTCGCGATCTATGTCAAGACTCTGCGCAAACTTAGATTTCGCTTGTACTGTTTGGCCTTTTATAGTAAATGAGATTTACGGGTATGGTGACAGCGAAGGCAAAGGAGCGCAAGACCCATTCTGGCATATCGATGTGCCGTGACTCCAGTGGGATGTTGTCTATGATCTCCTTGGTGCCGTAAACCGCCAGATACTCGCCGGTTTTACGTAGAGTGACTCTCAGACATGAGCAAGCTGGTGGCCTAGGCCGCATCACCCAAGATGCTGTCACGGAACATCCAGTTCCATGAAGTTGACAGCACACAAACTCAACGATACAGATTTACGAGAGCCACGGGTCAAATTTCAAAAGCTTAACAGCGCTCAGCTTGCGACGATGCTACCAAACTTGGGAGTCAAAGCTTCAGAATCTACCCAATGTTAACTAAGACCATAGCGGCCCTAAAGATGTTAACCAGAGTCCTCGCTAAAAGGTACAACTACCTTTAGGGTACTCACTTGGACATCAAATGAACACCTCGAATAATTTGGCTATTTCTTTTATTTAAACTTAATTGGATCCGAAGGTGCAAAAAGGAAACGAACATGAAGGTCTGAAGAAGGCGGAGATGTACTGCAAATAAGCCAAAAAGAAATTGTACTCCGGTACTGGGAATCGAACCCAGGGCTGCTCGGTGAGAGCGAGCGATGTTAGCCACTACACCATACCGGATAAGTTACTGTTGAGATACGGCGACCCCGCAATTGGATATCAATCCTCAGCCAGCATAACGGTCCAGCGGTGTGTGATACAGCAACTAACCATTCTTTGTAAGTTTATTTTGCTGTTTATCTGAAGATATACTCGGCGCTCGGTTATTGGTTGAACTTCTAGGAAATGAAAGTGTATTCAACAAATACCGATCACTGGGTACAACCCCCCAACCTAGTTTGAATCACATTTTGTGTGGACTGGCTTGGTTGTACAAGCGAGGAGCTGGTGTAATTGAAGAAGCTTAAAGTGGCTATTCCCTCAGCAAAAGCTAATCGCGGATTGGACTTACTTTCAATGAAGAAGAGTACTCGCAGAGTGTGCAGTTCCTTGATGCTGGTATAGATACGGCTGTAGCTAAGGCGAAGACAAGGTTAAGACAACGGTGGGAGAATGAAGGTCGCGGAGTGACAGAGGTGGCAATAGATTATTAGAGACCCATGCGATATAGAAATCAAAAGGAGGTGGTTGGAATATTATTCAATGGAGCTTCAAGATTCGTTCGTTCACCCGAGCTTCTTTCAAAGCTCTGGCTCAGCTCTTACAATCAGACAAATGCTTCTTGAATTGTGGAAGTGGTTCGCATTCAAGCGTCGAGATGAGGCGATAGAGGCTTCTTCCTTCTATTATTTCCCATTGTGTTCGTCCAACATTGTCCTGTACGTATTGATATGATTCTGGGGGTTTAAGACAGCCTTCTTCACGGCCAGTTAGGAGACAATTATCGCACAACATGATCTACCGTATTCCAACCCAGCCAAGGCACATTTCTCATAGCTTTATTGCTATTCCTTCGATTTCAAGTCGTGAATAATTTAAATATCACTGTTGTGCCCATAGCTTGAGTCGCGACAAGGCAGAGACCTAATGCAACCAGCCAGTCCCAGGGTAGGTAGGTCAAGAATTAGGGCTCCTGTTAAATATAAAGATGTAGAAACCCCAAAATTTTCTCCAGCATTAACATAGAATCATCGCGTAGTCTCGCTGATGTGGTTGAGATTAGTAGCCGATCGTCTCAAATCTTTGGAGTAAGCTGATGGCTTGATTATCCTGACGTTCTAATTTCAACTACCAGTGAAATTTCAATATCTTCGCAGTTCGAAGCAATGAGGAGCTTGAGGGGAATCTGGGCCTCACTGCACCCGGCAGACTGAGTAGTGTACCAAATCGTTTCGAGCAAGGTCTTGGACTCTTACTAATTGTACAGCTGGTCATGCCCTCGTTGTTTCAGCACAGCCCATACATGACGAAATAGACACGTGTCGTGAAAACAGAGAGATTCATAATAGATGACGGAGAGTGTCTGGACACCCATACCAGTTGGTATCGAATTGCTCAAATGATGGGAACAACTATATCCGCCGACTTTACCATATTAGCCATTGCTTATCACCGAAACAAGCTGTACTTGTTCCAGCCTGCGAATGCTGAGCACTCACTATTGTCTTTAAGGGCATGTTGTCACTTCTTCGTTGGGCCTGAATGTCAGCATCATAGCCAAGAGGTGGATTCTAGTCATTAGGCTGTGTACGATCCTTCTCACTTACACGTATGCTGACAGAGATAGAGAAGAGGTTGGAGCTGATAGACCTTCAAGTTTCCAAAACCGAAAGACTCTTCTATCACACATATATGACTGCTTTATTGGATTTTGAATCTTGCATTCCACTGGCCATTGCGACATTCCCCCAATTCCAAAGCGTGCGAAGGAAGAGGCGACCAGTTCTCCCTTCCAGGTCTCTAAAACTTAGCTTAAGTGAGTTTGAAAGGAAATATAATTGACTATCATCGAGTTATACTCACAGAAATACTCGGCCTTATACTGGTGGACACACTCTTGGAGCCACCGTGAGGTTGCTAGATGCACAGGAGCGGAAACCGGCCCTAATCATAACCGTGTGCCAAAATCTTGCCAAAGGCCGAGTGGCACATATCCGGCTATGGCCAGTGTGTCTTCTCGATGTTAATTTCTGATTATTGATTGGTTGTCTTTCCTTGATTTTTTGGTGGCGCATCTTGTGATTTAGGAATCGACGAAGCACTGGAATGCTTTCTCATGTGGCGCATCTCAGTTCTGCGTCACTTGATTCGCATGGCTTTAACTAGAGTTGTCAGGCTTCACACGTGGAAGAAAGCCCCTTTTTAACCTGAAACAGCACCGAATCTTGGAAACGGCTTGACGAGGAATGGGGTTGACATCATATTGTCTTGTTGCCGCCCCTACATGTTCAACGTGGCTGTGGATGCCACCACTAGCTCGGGGCAATTTCAGGGAATAACCAGGTACAGTCTAAATCCCTATGTCTCGTAAGAAAAAATCATGAGGTAGGGGATATTTGATTAGTGATGCAGTATTGACCCTAGTTGGAAATATAAGACTAGCAGTTATCACCGTAGTATGCAACAGAGCCTTCAGACAACTCACAACCAGCCTAATTGCAACCAACCCAATAACACACTGAATCTCGCTAACACTATGTTCTTCTCAAACGTCTTGATTCAGACTCTCCTCCTCTCAGGAGCGGGATACTTTGCTTGCGCAAACCCAATCACTCGTGAAAACGGTGGACAGGTCGGCACTTCAGTAGGCCACGATGTGAACACTTCCGGATTCCCAGGCACTATCCCTGATCCTGAGTTCAAGGTTACCACGAAGAACGCCGTTGCCAATCCAGCTGCAGCCAGCCTCACAAGTGATGAGACAGAGGCCCTGCGCCTGCATAACGCAGCCCGAGCAGGAAAGGGGCTACCACCGTTGGTGTGGGATGCCAAACTAGCCGCGAACGCCGCTGCTTGGGCCCAGTCGCTCAAGAACTCAAATTCTTTCCAGCACTCTTCAGCTGCCTCACGACCTAACCAAGGCGAAAATCTAGCACAGAACTCGTAAGAGATATACCCTCCCCGTTTGCAAGGCAAGGAACGTACATGCTGACAACTGCGCAGAAGCCCATCAAAACCGATCGACAATCCCCTTGCTCTAGGTACTCAGCAATGGTAAG